ATTTCATAGCTAAATTTCTCACGTTACATTCTCTCCTATCTTCATTCGCACAACAAATGTTTTCTTGGCATTTATTAGGGATGCAATAGAGTGAACACATGACAAAACCCTCAAGGAATTAACATTCTGGTAGTGAGACAATAAATCATAGTCATAATAAGTAAATTATATGTTAAAATAGAATATGTTTCAAGAAGGTACTGCCAAGGGGGAAAACAGACTTGGGGAAGGGAGGTTGGAAGTGCAGAGAAAGAGGGGCAGTTTTAACTAGGGTGGTCAGTATACTTCCTTAAGAAGGTGATGTGTGAGAAAAGATTCCAAGGAGGTGAGGAAGGTAGGTGTGCACAGGAAACAGCCAATGCAAATCCTAAGGCAAGCGTATGCCTAGCTGATTAACACCACCACCACTACCTAACAAATAAGCAAACATGTCAGCCATTGCTGTCAGTTTCTTAACAATGTATCCCTCTCCCCCGACCCAAAAAAATCTGTGCTAACCAAGAAAAAAATTCGTTCATTCAACAAACGTTTACTGAACAACAACCATGTACTAGGTAACACCCTCAGTGCTAAGGACACAGAAAAGAACATGACAGGCACCGGTTTCTATTGTAAAGCCATAAAGACCTCAGGAAAGGGCCTGAGGTTGACTACAAAGCCTATTTAATAGTATAAGAAATACTTTTTTTCTCAATAAGCTCTTTGGCGTATTGAGCCTTCACTGCTTTTTTTTTTTTTTAAATAGCGCAGATTTACACAAATTTGACCTCTAAATAAGTGGGATGATACTGTACTGAAAGTATCTCAAAATCTCTATCTTTAGATCATAGATAGCTGGCTCTTCTTAAGTTTCTTTACCTAAAGAAATGACAATTTCAAAAGTACAGCAGGGCACGTTGGCTCACCCTGTAATTGCAGCACTGGGAGGCTGAGGTAGAAAGATCCTATAAGGCCAGGAGTTCAAGACCAGCCTGGCCAACAAAGCAAAACCCTGTCTCTACAAAACACTTAAACATTAGCCAGGTTTGGGGGCTCATGCCTGTAGTCCCAGCTACTCAGGAGGCTGAGGCAGAAGGATCGCTTGACTCTAGGAGTTCGAGGCTACAGTGAGCTATGATTATGCCACTATACTTCAGCCTTGGCAACACAGTGAGACCTTGCCCCACCCCCCACCCAAAAAAACCAGTATTGATTACTTTCTTTTCCCCCATTAGGTTAAAGGATACTCTAAGATTAATTGAAAACACATTTCTACATGTTAAGGAATGTATGTGAGAGAAAACAGAACAAGAAATATTAATGCTACGTTAACCTTATAGCCTAACTTACTTTTTTTATTTTTTTGAGACAGAGTCTTATTGTGTTGTCCAGGCTAGAGTGCCGTGGCGTCAGCCTAGCTCACAGCAACCTCAAACTCCTGGGCTCAAGCGATCCTCCTGACTCAGCCTCCCGGAGTGCTAGGATTATAGGCATGAACCACCACGCCCAGTCTAACTTACTTTTTCATAAAGATAATTCCTGAAAAACACATTACGCCCTTGTCTTGCTGTCAGGTAACTGTGAAGTATTTGAGTAAAAGAGTTTCTCTTCTAACCTTAACCATCAGTCTCCCCTGAGGATTGGACTAAATAAAATGAAAACATGCTTCACCGGACTCAGCATTACATTAGCTACCTGTGTCATCCATGTTTTCAAGGCATCGTCGGTACCTTAAGGGTAGAAGTACTCTCTCTCTCTACCTAAATGTCCTATCGGGCAAATTAAGAACTACCCTAGAAGATTAGCAAATATAAAAACTGTGTCAGCAAGGATGTGAAAAAATCGTTGTGCTGTACAACTGCAAATACTCTGACCCAGGAGTTCCACTTCGAAGAATTTATTGAACAAAAGAACATAGGAACAAGGTTATTCACTGCAGCATTGTCTGTAATAGAAAAAAGACAATGAAAACTACATTTCCTAACCTCCCTTGCATTCAGATGGAACTATAACACTAAATTCTAGCAAATCAAACATAATTCAAAGTGCTGTGAAGTGGCAGTTTCTAGAAACCTTCCTTTAAAAAGGCTAGGTGGGCCAGGCGTGGTGGCTCACGCCTGTAATCCTAGCACTCTGGGAGGCCGAGGCGGGTGGATCGCTCAAAGGTCAGGAGTTCGAGACCAGCCTGAGCAAGAGTGAGACCCCCGTCTCTACAAAAAAATAGAAAGAAATGATCTGGACAACTAAAAATATATATATATAGAAAAAATAAGCCAGGCATGGTGGCGCATGTCCGTAGTCCCAGCTACTCGGGAGGCTGAGGCAGAAGGACTGCCTGAGCCCAGGAGTTTGAGGTTGCTTTGCGCTAGGCTCACGCCACGGCACTCACTCTAGCCCTGGCAACAAAGCGAGACTCTGTCTCAAAAAAAAAAAAAAAAGGCTAGGTGTAGCCTCTGCTCCTTCTTGCATCCCTCTGCTCAGATGTGCTGCAATAGCTGGAGACCCAGCTAGGTCAGTGAGGACACAGGCAACACACACAGCAGTAACAGTGTAGAAAAAGCCCAGACAATCAGAAATGTGATGGTGTGGGAGATGAAGATAGATTGCATGGCTATCTTGACTGTGGCATTTGTTATACAGGTACATACAACTGCCAGAATTCACTGGACCGTACGTTTAATATCTGTGCACTTTACTGTCTTTGTTATGTCTCAGTTTAAGGAGAGTAAAAAAAAAAGAATAATGCCACAAGTGCTATACGACCCCTAGACCACCTATCTGAACTTTTATAAGAGAAAAAAAATACTTTTTTAAGTCGTTGTGATTTTAGGTTTTCTATCTCAAATACATTCTTCATGCACCCATATGTCAAGAATTTAAAAATCTACCGTTTAATTAACAGTATGTAGAGTATGCTACCATATATACATATATGTGTGTGTGTGTATATATATATATTTTTAAGAGCAGCCAAGCATGGTGGCTGACATCTGTAATCCCAACACTTTGGGAGGCCAAAGTCAGAGGATCACTTGAGGCTAGGAGTTCAAGACCAGCCTGGGCAACATAGTGAGACCCTGTCTCTACAGAAAAATAATTTTTTTTTTTTTTTTTTTTTTTTTTGAGACAGAGTCTCACTCTTTTTTTTTTTTTTTTGAGACAGAGTCTCACTCTGTTGCCTGGGCTAGAGTGCCGTGGCATCATCTTAGCTCACAGCAACCTCAAACTCCTGGGCTCAAGCGATCCTACTGCCTCAGCCTCCCAAGTAGCTGGGACTACAGGCATGCGCCACCATGCCCGGCTAGTTTTTTCTATGTATTTTTAGTTGTCCGATTAATTTCTTTCTAATTTTTAGTAGAGACGGGGTCTTGCTCTTGCTCAGGCTGGTCTCGAACTCCTGAGCTCAAACAATCCGCCCGCTTCGGCCTCCCAGAGTGCTAGGATTACAGGCGTGAGCCACCGCACCAGGCCTCAGAAAAATAATTTTAAAAGTTAGCTGGGTGTGATGGTGGGCACCTATAGTCTCCCAGCTAATTGGGAAGCTCGCACCACCCTCCAGGAACCTCCACCTATTCAGCTATGTGGAAGCCAGAGCAAGACCCTGTCTCTTATTTTAAAAAATTAAAGAAAGAAAGTAGGGAGACTAGAATATATACTAGAAGGTTAAGAAACTAATAACATGGGTTGCTTCCAGAAAACAAAGGTGGCTAGCTAAATCAAAAAGACCAACAAGCCTTTTTTCCTGATTAACTGAAGAAGTCATATAAAGCTTCTTTCTTTTACTAGAGGAGTACAGATTCTAAAGAGTTATAAATAGGATCATTTGAAAGTCTACAAATCACTTTAGAAATGAAAATAAAATGAGGATGTCTGATCTTAGGTCTTAGATGGTTTTCAAAACTATTTTAAAATATGCATATATAAACTCTTACGTTTTCATGGCATAAACAATGTAACAAGAGTTTCTCAAAATCTACCTACTTTTACTAAACCATTTAATTTTGCAGTCACCCAAGTCTTGGTCTGTATTTGTGTAGCTGTGATTAGTGTATACAATTTTATTCAATTTTCATGTACTTTTTTCTATTTAATACTAATAATTAAATTGCACAAAATAAAAAATGTTCCTTTACCTCAGAAATACCCATGAAATTTTGGATTTTCCTTTTTGAAAGCTGTTTTCTACACCAATGCCAAAAAATGACTATCCAGATCATAAGATAGAAGCCACCAAATATCAACTGATCCATCCCAATTAAAAACAATCTCTTAAGAGATAAATACTTTTAAAACCCATAAAGGAGACATCACTTACACCTTTCGGCTGACAGTACAGATAGAGCAGTCCTAGTCCAAAAATCCAAAATCCAAAACTTTCTGAGCACTGACATGACACCACAAATGAAAAATTGCACACCTCACTTCATGTGGCAGGTCGCAGTCAAACCACAGCACACAACAATGAAGGTGGCATTGTTAATGCTGCAGAAAAAATGCTGCTTTAGGAAAAACTCCTCAAACTGAGCTTCCCTCTAAACTCCACCACAATCAACACAGAAGATGACTTCTGTGACCAAAAACCCAGGTTTTCCCCACACACACCAAGCAGCAGACACCAGCTAAGTGTCCTCTAATTCAATTCTGACACTATCTACCTGGAGATAGCATCAGATCCAATAGGGTGAGGGCTCAGTCCCCAAAACTGCCCCCCATACACACCAGTTTCAAGTTCGGGAGTCCAGAGCTTCTTCTATAAAGGTTTCGATAATTTTTTATATTGGTTACATGTTAATGATATTTTGGATATATTGTATTAACATACCATTAAAATAATTTCATCTTTTTCCATTTTTTAATGTGGCTAACTAGAAAATTTTAAATTGCGTAACATGGCTCACATCATACAGTCGTCCCTCAGTATCCGTGGAAGACTGGTTCCAGGACCTCAATCTGTGGATGCTCAAGTCTCTTCTATAAAACAGTGTAGTCTTTGTATGTAACCTGGGCACATCTCCCGTATGCTTTAGATCATCTCTAGGTTACTTATAATACCTAAAACAAAGTAAAGGCCACATGAATAGTTGTTATACTGTATTGTTCAGAGAATAATGACAAGAAAAAATCTGTACATTTTAAGTACTAAAGAAATTTTTTCTTGAATATTTTTGATGGGTGGTTGGTTGAATCCACAGGTGCAGAACTCACAGGTTCAGAGGAACAAGTGTATTTCTATTAGACAACACTGCTCACATAGTTATCTCAACTTTTCTGACTCTCCCATTCCTATTATTTAAAACATTTTTAACATGTACCCACTAAAATGTGATATATATACATACACCACTGTACTAATACACTGTACATTCATGTAAAATGTATACAGTCAAAAAATGAGAAATATAAATAGAAGTTCTAATATTTTTCTCTTTGCAATCCAACGGACTATCCCATACACTCCACACTGGGGGCTTAAGATATTAGCAGAGAGATTAAATGGGAAAAGACAAATCCAAATGAAAGTTTCACTAAGATTTAATGACTGGTTGACTACCAGAACAAAGAAGAGACGATGGACTAAGGATGACATAATGGACACCTGTTACTCAGCATCCACTGCCTCCCATCATGCTGCTTAGGTAGGAACGATCCCAGCTCCAGAGGTAGGCCCAGGCTGGCTAAACCAATTAGCATATCCTATTTCTCTGGCCTTACTGATTGGTTCAGAAATGACAATGCAACCCAAAGTCAATGAGACACAAGAAGACATTTCTTGGGCTACTAGGAAGAGAAATTCTCTTCTGGCAGTCGTTCTTAAGTTGAGGCTCAAACCCTCCAAGGATTTATCGATAGAATTCAGTACAGCTCAAGAAAAAAAATTATATCTTTATTTTCACTAACCTCCAACTGTAATTTAGCACTTCCTTCTACTATGAACTCAGGCAACACACCACAATAGCATTAGCAATATCTGTTCACTCTGTCACCAGTAGAAATCAGGTATTTTCCTATTACATGCCCACTGGATACAGATACCTCCAAATAGTGATAATACTCATTACCACTTGGAAATTATCAGACTCACACTAAATCTTTTTAATAAAGAAGCAAATATCATTAACAATTTTAAAAATGTTTTTACAACGGTATTTTAATATAACTGGTTTTCTTTGTACAGTAGTCCTCTGTATTTTCCTCTAGACTTGACATCATGAGATGTAGGGCTTGAGCTGTCACACATACGTGCTGTGACCACAACAGGACCAACAGGCCACAGGGGCTGAGCTCATTACATAAAGAGAAAGATGAGGTCTGGTCACATAAGTATAACTGGATCAAGCTTCACCTCTGCACTTTTTAATAGTGCAAGCCAGTGAATTTGACTTGGTTTTCTATTATACTAGCATAAAAAAATCTAAATTATATAATTGATTTCAACAGTTTCTATCTCAGAAAACAAATAATACCCATGTCTTTGGACAGAAACAGCAAACTTAGAAAACGCTTAACTTTGTCACATTGAGAGAATCTGAGAAAAATGAGTTCAGTTCTTCACAAACTGAGTGTACTGCTGACTCAATACTCACTCCAATCAAGTTTTCACGTGCATCTCCTGTTTTATATAGATAACACTAAGGTTTCACAGATGACCTATATACGTGGACAAGCAGATATACATATCTGCATCAGATACAGAGGGCAGAAAGAACATGAAATGACAGTTCTACCCAAAAAGCTAAACTTCCACTGAATATGGTGGCAGCTGCTTTCTGATTCAACAACATAGTCCTAGGGTTTATGGTGGCAGGAGCCCCTTGGCAGGCAAATTCTCCACTGTCATTTTGGGGTTTGTTCTTAGAAACTCAGTCTATCTGTTCATTCGGCCCACTCAATGTTTACATATCTTTCTCTCTCAATAAATCCTGTTTACTACAACTACTTAGAGCAAATGCTCTGCCACAGGTTCCTAAACAGTAAATACAAAGCAAACCAGAATATACAAAAGCAGTATCATCTCAGTAGTTAGTAACCTGACAAGAGTTAACAGTTTATGGATATAAATGTAGGCATGACTTGGGTAAAATTATCACTGAGAAGCCCTAAGAGGTAAGGGTTGGATTACAGGGAGCAATGATAGGTCAAAAAACAGAGCTTCAGGCCAGGCACGGTGGCTCACACATATAATCCCAGCACTCTGGGAAGCTGAGGCAGGAGGATCGCTTGAGGCCAGGAGTTTGAGACCAGCCTCAGCAACACGGTGAGACCCTATTACTATAAAAAATTGACAAATTAGCCAGGGGTACTGGTACAAACCTATGGTCCCAACTACTCAGGAGGCTGAAGGGGGAGGACCACTTGAGCCCAGGAGTTTGAGGCTGCAGTGAGCTATGATCACGTCACTTGCACTCCTGGACAAAAAAAGGAGCCTGTCTCAAAAAAAAAAAAAAAAAAACCTCTAGATAGTCTGAATCTGGAAGAAAAAGAACTGCCAGCAAAGCTGAGAATTTAGAGATAAGCAAAGAACCAAAGAGAAGCGAGAACTCAAAGAATGAAGGTCTTCTACACAACTGAATATCAAACATGACTAATAGGATAAAGATTTAACTAAAAGATCTGCTCTTCACATTACTTCCTTCCTCAAAAACTGTCACTGGGTATGAAATAATATTCAAACTCCTCCAAAATCTGGTCCCAACCTGGTTTGCTATTCTTTACACCAAAACTTCTACTCATATAGCCTTTAAAAAAAAAACCCTCTTCTCTGCATTCTTAAAGACTTGTCTTTGGTCAGGTGCTATTAATTGTCTGTTCAGGTGCTAGTAATACAATAAAATACCTTACACTGTGTAATTTATAAACAAGGGAAATTTATTGCTCACAGTTCTGAAAGCTGAGAAGTCCCAGATCAGGGCACTGGCAGATGCAGTGTTCTAGTGAGGGCCTGTTCCTCATAGATGGCACCTTCTTGCTGTGTCTTCACAGGATGGAAAGGACAAAGAGCTTCCTCAAGCCTCTTTTATAAGATCACTAATCCCATTCACAACCTAATCATCTCCTGAAGGCCCCACTTCTTAATACTATCACATTGGGGATTAAGTTTCAATATATAAATTTTGAGGGGACACGAACATTCAGACCATAGCAAGGGCCAATTCAATGCCCACCCAGAAAGCTTTCCCTGGCAGTCACAGTTGCTTCCTCTGAATTCATGTAACATTTATTTACCTCTCTTCAGACACCTAATTAAAACCCAAACTAAGCAGGGCAATGGTGGCACCCAATTGAGCCCAGAAGTTCAAGGCTGCAGTGTGCCATGATCATGGCTATGAACAGCCACCGCACTCCAGCCTGGGCAAGACCTCATCTCTTGAAAAAAATAAAAAAACACCAAACTAAATTATAAGCTTAAAGAGAACAGGGGCTATGTTCATTTCTTTATGCTCTAAATGCCTAGCATAATGCCACCCTAATGTCCTAACAAAGTAAGTACTTTAAACAAGCAGCTTCAGAAGAAACTGGTGGAGGTAAGATTGCAGGCAATTAAAAAGCTCAATGACTTGGAAGGTCCATGAAGGAACTTTTTGTCGTGATGGTAATGGTAATTAATGTTCTATACCCTGACAGGGATATGGGTTACACAGATGTATGAACCTGTCCAAACTAAGGGAATGGTATACAAAAGATCTGTACATTTTAGTACATAAAAACTTTACCTAAAAAATAAATAGTAATAGGCATGCTGAAGTGTCTAGGTGTAAAGTATACTTACTTTGAAATACAAGAAAAACATAAGATTGATGAATGCAAGAGGAACAGATAGACAGGTGGTAAAGTAGATCAATTACAGAATCTAGGTGAGGCGTATTTAGGTACTCAGCGTACAAACAATTCTTTCACCTTTTCTGTAACGCAAACGTTTTTACTTTAAAAATGTTAGAGAAAAAAAAGCAAAGACCAGAAATCAAGGCTGTGAGAGGCTTGTGTATTTCCCAAGTTCACCAATTAAAGAAAGGATTCACTCCAAAAAAAAAACAAAGTAAATACATGCCTGAGAGTGGAAGGAAAAGGAGAGCAGATATTTGGACTGTCCCTCTTTACTCGACCTCTAATTTTAGGCTGCCTACACTGGTTCTGACCTTGAGCATTTCTTCTTGCCTCAAAGAAAGTGCTACCTTCCTAAACTCCACTCATTCTAGGACAATCCAAAACTGTGCTGTCTAGGCTCTAGGCCCTTTGTCTGTCTTAGGCTATAATAATCTATTCCCTATTATTTTTAATGGAATTTCTAATACCATCTTACACCCAACCTTTATATAAGACCTCTGGCCAATCTGGCATAACATAAA